ACAGTGATTAACAGGGGTGGTTGAGCACGAAGAGACGGAGCCAAAAGAAACCTCATAATTCCTAAATAAGAAGGAGTTAAACCGTGACAGTTAAGGAATGTTCAACCATAAGTAGAACGTCCAACCATCTACAAGGTAGCCCTAGTTTACTGATATACCATAATTTGATTACTTGATGAGGGGCAGAGAGCTCTAAAGATAGATGACGCAAGAGATCTTGACAAAGATAAAGATTGCTAGACAAAGGTCATGCAAAAAGAGTTGAGATGAATTCTATTGAAAATGCCAGGTGACCACTGTTGATGACGCCTGTGGTGAAACTCGCCAAAAGGGAAGAGAACACTTCCAAGAACAAAGCCAATGGAGCTTTTGTACAAACTGAAGAAAGATGATTGGTAGACCTCTAGAATGAATACAAAGCTCGACCTTGTGTCATCATCAAGGCTTTTGTTGCTCAAAAGAAAAGGTATTGACTATTTGATGATGATTTAATTTTTTCACCAGTTGAATGAAGAACCTCGACCGTTGCTATTTCTGAGTCCTTTCGTGCTAGTCTTTTAGCACAATTTGAATCTGAGTTGCAAAGCAGGCTTGATGTTATAAACAAGATCCGCCCATCTTCTTTGCATGCCGAGCCGATTCTTAAAGGGAAGGAAAATCTAATAATGAAACAAACCAGAAAGGTTTTTCAAGTCAAGGGACCAAAACAAGGTGGACATAGGTTTGTCGCTTGAAGAAGAGCTTGGTACTGGTGTTGAATACAAGCGCCGCGGCCACCATGGTATAAAAGTTTGCATTCTGTTCATAAGGTGAATTCAATTCCGGTGATACAGAAGGACAGATGCACGATCTTCAATATAGTGTATCCATGATTTCAAATTATTCTGAATGGTAAATTTTATTCATCTCCTTCATGCTCTTATTGATGAGATATGCTGATCGGTTTTGTGGACGCCGAGATGGCACACATGATAGATGCACACATGATTAGCAGGTTAAAGAGTGATTTGTCAAAAGCATTTGACATGAAGGATTTGGGATCGGCAAGGCGAATTCTCGGAATGGAAATTATCCGAGACAGAAAGTCATGCAAGTTATGGTTATCGTAGGAAAAATATATTGAACGAGTTCTAGAGAGGTTCAATATGAAGAATGCTAAACCAGTTAGCACTCCGCTTGCAGCTCGCTTCAAGTTGAGTAAGAAATCCTACCCATCAACAGAGAAAGAAAAAGGAGATATGTCAAATGTTTCATATTCTTCAGTGGTCAGAAGTTTGATGTACGCAATGGTGTGTACAAGACCAGATATCGCTCAGATTGTACGCAATTTGGTGTGTACGAGAAGACCCCCAGGATATCGCTCATTGCAGTTGGCGTTGTGAGCGATTTCTGTTCAAAAATCCTAGAAGACACATTTGAGAGAAGCAAATGAAGTGGATCTTCAAGATTACCTGAGAGGGAACTTCCAAAGTTATGTTTACTTTTGGAGGGTTGAAAAGACTGCACTTTGTTGGTTTACACAGATGCAGACTATGGGCTGTAGGTGATCTTAGATGCAGATATGGCCGGTGATCTTGATGAAAGAAAGTTTACATCAGGATACCTATTTACATTCTCAGGGGGAGCTATTTCATGGCAGTTAAGATTACAAAAATGTGTTTCGTTATCGACGACTAAAGCAGAGATGCAGATATGGCCGGTGATCTTGATGAAAGAAAGTTTACATCAGGATACCTATTTACATTCTCAGGGGGAGCTATTTCATGGCAGTTAAGATTACAAAAATGTGTTTCGTTATCGACGACTAAAGCAGAGTATGTTGCAGCAACGGAAGCAGGAAAGGAAATGCTTTGGTTAAAGCAATTCTTTCAAGAATTGGGTGTGCAACAGGACGAATATATAGTTTATTGTGATAGTCAAAGTGCGTTAGACTTGAGCAAAAATACTATATATCATGCACGAACGAAACACATTGATGTAAGATATCATTAGATATCATTGACTTCTTAGACTTGCCATTGAAGAGAAGCAGTTCCAGTTGCGGAAAATCCACACAGACAGAAATGCTGCGGATATATTAACAAAGGTCGTTCCGAAGGAGAAATCGAACTGTGTGTCAAAGCAGCAGGAATGGAGAGTCCCACCATGTAGTCGGGAGGGGGGGGAATTATTATGGGGTCCCTCCAACATATGGGACCCACACACATCTGAAAAAGAAAAAGAAAATAAACACGTTTTTTGTTTGTTGGGCAAAGGAAAAAAAAGGAGAAGGAGATTCAAACATGTGGGATCCACACGCGTTTGAATGAAAAAAAAATAAAAGGAGAAAAACACGTGTTGTTTAAAAATTCAAAGAAAGCTCACCTACAAAAATGAAAATGGATGCGTTAATTGTGCAGACGCATTGATTAACGCATCCACTTCTGCTATAAATAGGAGAAGTTTTCTTCAACTTGAAAAAGAGAGAAAATAGTGAGGATTGTAATTTTTTGGGGTGTTTTTTGGGAAACACTTAGAGTGCCACTATCTAAAAATTGGGAAAGAGAAGAGAGAAAATAGTGAGGATTGTAATTTTGGGAAACACTTAGAGTGCCACTATTTTTGTAATCTCTTTTTGTACCTACTATTTTTTAGTGGAAGAATAATTTGGAGTTTTTGTCCTGTGGACGTAGCTCATAACAGTTGAAGGGTGAACCCCGTAAATCTCGGTGTTCTTATTTTTCATCTGGCATTTATGGTAATTATTTAATTTTTTACCGAGATTATTATTTCTGGTGGATTCGATCGTCAATATCCAATACGTAATTATTGGAGTATTTTTCCACAGGCCGTACTTGGGATAAGTTATAATCCCAACAGTTTATTACTAGAAATGTTCCTTGTTCCTTGATGCTCTGCAAGAAACGGCGGAGGGGCATTTCAAAGAAAATGATTTACTGAAAAGCAAATTAATAATAATGATTACATTTGTCAATCCACCATTGGTTTGTCACTCCATGTACGACATCTACATAGAATCACGATTGTATTATATAATTTTCCATTAGTTGTGAGTAGAATATATTAAACTGCAGGTATCAAGCAATTTCTTTTGTTATTTTTCTGAAACAAATAATTTAGGGGTTTTTTTTACCTCTAAATGAATGCTACTGAATGCTACATATGTTTATATATATTGGTTAGGTTTAGACACTTTCTATTGTACATAAAATATATGTCTCCTATGCATATTATATTGCAAGTTGTGACTATGTAAATTCTAAGTATTGACTCTAAGTGTGTGGGTATATATATATAGAGAGAGAGAGGTTAGCTTTAAACAATTTGTATTGTACATATATGTCTCTTATGCATATTATATTAGTTGTGACAATTTGTGTTGTACATTTTGTATTGTGTTGTACATATATGTCTCTTATGCAAATTAATATGAATCTAGGTATCAACTTGTTTCTTTCGTTGATTTTCTATTACGAATAATTTTTGTTGACTCTAATTGATTGCTACATGCATGTATTGGTTATTAGACAAATTTTTATTGCACATAAAATATGTTCGTTATGCATATTATATTGCAAGCTATGAGTATAGAATATTATCTCTAGGTATCAATCTCTTTCTTTTGTTAATTTTTTTTTGTCACAAGTAATTTAGTTAATCTATATATATATATATATAGACAATTTCTATTATACAGAAAATGTCTCTTATGCACATTAAATTGCAAGTTATGAGTAGAATATAAACTCTAGGTTCCAGCTATTTCTTTCATTAATTTTTTTGTTACAGATAATCTATTTAACTCTAAGTGAGGACTACATGTTTGTATGTATATTGTAAATATCACGAATTTTTATTTTTAAAACTTTTTCTACCTAATTGTAGATGAATTAAAATTAAAAACCTTAAATTGAAAATTGGCTATTATAATTGTATGTTATATTTAATTATTACATTACTTGATTATATAATTATATTTGTTTTTGGTGAATTTGCTTTCAAATTTGAGTCATAGGATGTATTTGGACTTAATTAATTCAAAATTAGAAGTTGAAAGACAAGTTAGACAGAAAAAAAAAAAAGTTATTGGACTATTGAAAATTTAACAAAAAAAAGTCTTATTTCTGCCATTAAATGAAAATATAATGGACTAAATAATAAAATATGAAGATTAAACTGTTAAATATTATAGGATATTCTTGTTGGTTTTCTCACTTACGTGAAAAGTGAGAGGTCTCGAGTTTGAGTGTTCTCGACCATAAGTGTTTTCACAAATTTAGTGAATCTATAAGATATTATAGGACGTAACTCATATATAGTCCATTGAACCTCCTATGTATATATATATATATATATGTGTGTGTGTGTGTGTGTGTGGTTAATTCAACTATATGTTCAAAGAAAATCTTGAAATAGATTATCATGGATTATCATAATTTTAGTTTAATATCTTATACATAAACTTATACCATAATTACTTGCAAGCAAGCTAACTTGCAAAGTTGAAAATGTAAGTCTTTTATGATTATTTTTTATTTTCTTCAAATTTCGAAATTTCTTTATTGTTTATGAATGAGATCCATCCTTCATTTTTATAATTATATATTATTATTATGTTTTTTTTTTTTTTAGTTTTTTTTTAGTACTGGGGAAGGAGATTCGAATTCTTTATCGATTGTCAGGTAGTAATATGCACTTACCACTAAGCTATGTCTAGTGGTTTGTTTATTTTAAACTTACAATCTATTTTAATCTATATAATTATTTTTAATTCAACCTGTTATTTATGTCCCATTTAATCTTTGTATCAGATTCTATTGATTTTATCAGATTCTATTGATTTTGTATGATTGCAGTGGTTATATTCACAATCACATATAAACACAATTCATAGAAAAGTAATTTATTGTTAATTAGAAGTTTTATGTCAATAACTCAACTTGTATTATCTTAATAACTTAATTATTTTAAAGTAGTACATAAAACGAGTACAAACAGTGTAACCCATTAAACAAACATTAATTCCATATTTATTCAGAGACCAACACACCTTATGGATACATACATGTGTGCTCGGCTAATATCTTATTTTAACTTAACTATTTTAAACTACGAATATCTAAAACGAGTATAAACAATATAAAAAACACCAATTCCATATTTATTCAAAGACCAACGCAGCTTATGGATAGGTGTGTGTGCGAAAGGAGCTCAAAGGCCGGTATATGCTTTCAAAGAATGGTGCTGCTTGTAACCTTCAGGGGTACCAAAGAAATGAAGCAGACCAATGTGATCGAAGGGTTTATACATTAAAGGATGATCATCATCAACAAATTCTTTTGGCACTTGCATTATTCCTTTGTCAAATGAGAATAGGCCAACTGAGAATCTTTTCTCCTTACTTTTTATTGTCACTCGATGATCACAACCATCAATCCTATCATTGCTCCACCCCTATCATCAAATTCAAACACTCATCACAACTAATTGATTTATATAATACTCATTCCGTCCAATAATTTTTATCCTGATTTCATTTGCATATAAATTAAGAAAATTTAGTTAATATTATTAAATTATAATTTTTGCTTTATTTTTTTTCTAATATACCCTTATGTTAATATCCATTTGAAATTAAACAATCCATATTAAATCGTTCTTGAATACTAAATATTGTCTTTTATCAAATTTATTAAATGGCCTATAGAATTATGATGAAATTTATTAATAGCAAATATAGTTCGATAGTTACTGAACCTTTAGTCCCTTACCATGATTCCTTCGCCTGCCAAGACTAAAAAATCTGAAGAAGCTAAGTGAACATCAAGCCACTCTCCATTCTTTGGTCTCCATTCTTTGGTTTAATTTGCAAACCACTAACATCATTCTGATGAAGTATGGTAAGGAAACTTTTGTCCATATGGGGGTGCAATCCCTGTTTGGTTTCATTTTCATTTTCTTGAGGAACTATATAGTTCAAAAATCGCGAAAAGTAAGTGGTCGATTCCATATGGGACTCATAGTACTTCTCCATAACCATCGAAGATCATCTTCACCACCATTTTATGTAGCTCTTCCACTGTCTTTGTGTATGAATGAACAATTTTGCTATCAAATAAAAAAGAAAATAATTAAATTTTGAAAAAAATTAGAACCGAAGCTAGCTATAAATTAAAAAAATCTCACCAGAAATTATTGTTGCCATTAGGCCACATGGTTTTTGTGAAATCTTGAATTCCTTCAAGAGTTTCTGTACGAGTGATTGCCATGGATTCAATGAAAGATCGGTGGGGTACATGTTCGATAAACCCAGTGAAAGGTACATCAGAAACATTTTTCCTTTTGGTCTCAAGAGGAAGGTCAAACAATTCTTGTAGTACGTTAAACAAGTCTGCATGTAGTTTCTGATCTACCAACACAGTGATTTGTTTTGATGCAAGCGTGGTGAACTCTCTTATCTCAGAATACCAAAAGACAGCTAAACGAAGCAATTCCATACCTCGTACTGATTACGGCCTTCTCAACAACATTCCTGTGCATTGGCATCCACCAACCACTTGTCCTGCAGCCTACCAAGTTTTCACTTGAAGAAGGTGAAGTCTATCACAGGAAGCTTGGAGTTGGACAAAGAACCCATAGATAAAATTATAAAATTATATTATGATGAAGGATAGAACAAAATAGAGGAAAACCCCACTTTTTGTGATTCTCAAAGCTCTTTGTAGTCTTAGTATTTATAGACTAAACCTTAAATTAAATAATATGAAATAATTAAGAATCCAAGGACTTGGAATAAATAAAAATAAACTTCCTATTAATACGGATCGAGCCAAACAATTACCTTACGGTTCCCTAGAGAAGCAAGCCACACATGAATATGAAGCTTGCCGTGAGCCAAGCCACAGTTTTCCATTTAGGGCTCGTTTGGCTTAATAGTTCATACCAGGTGTCTGATGGTTGATAGCAGTTAAGTAATTATTGATTATGTTTAGTAAAATTTTAGCATTGGTTGCTGTTAAAATATAAATGACTATTATAAGAGTAATTATTTTTATATATTATGATGTGTAAGCATATACTTCCTCTATTTTCTTTATTTAGATAAAATTTCCTTTTTGGTTGTATTTTTTATATAAAAAATTTTACTTAAAATAGTAACTTTGGGATGCAAGCCAAGTTTAAAATACTAGAATGCCCTTGGGAGTGTATGTGTTTGTTTTAAGACTGAAGCTCAACAATGAAGGAAAGTGGCATACAAAAATATTATTCTCAGCATTTAATGTACGTGTGTTTCAAGGGATAAGTTATCAACTCACTTTTTTTATTTTATAGCAATAGCGGTCGTTTTTATAAATTTGGCTACAAAAATAAAGTTCTGATATTAAACGTCAAAATAATGGCACGTAAATACAAAGCTAACCTTTATTTGTATGTTTGATTAATATATGTCCACTTTTATCATTGTAAATTTGGTCACAACCATTGACGTTATGAACGAATATATGTTATGCTCAGTTAAATTTTAAAAACAGTTACGTTTTGTTTTTAAAAGTGCAGATTTGTTTTGATTATTGAAAAAAGAGGAAAATTGGAGTTTGTTTTTAATACTTATGCACTTTTTCAATAGTTTTTATTTCTCTGTGTTAGTTCAATAGTTTTTATTTCTCTGTGTTAGTTAAGGGTTGTGAACTTATGGAAGCCACTTCCATTTTGTGGTCTTGTTATTAGTAGTTGTGCACTCTTTCAATGGTTTATATTTCTCTATGTTAATTAATGGTTGTGAACTTCTCTAACCCAATTTGTAGCCTTTTTATTATTAATAGTGCACTTTTGTAAACCATTTTGTGGTCTTGTTATTATTAATTGTGTACTTTGTTAATAGTTATTATTTTCTGTGTTAAGTAACGGTTGTGAACTTTCTTAAGTCACTTTGTGGCTTTTGTTGTTATTAATCGTGCACTTTTTAAAATATAGTAATTTTTTTTTTCAAATCCTTATTATGATTGTACTTTTTTGTGAGTTATTTTGTGGCCTTTTGTTAATACTTAATAGTAGTTGTGAACTATTGTAAACCATTTTGTGACATTGTTATTATCAGTTGTGCACTTTTTCAAATCCTTATAATGATTGTACTCTTTTGCAATCCACTTTGTGACTTTATTATTATTAGTTGTGCATTTTTCAAAATGTGAAGTTGACAAACATTTTGTTAGATTGTACATTTTTTAAAAAAATTATTGCTTCAAACTCACACTAAAACTCAAATTTTAGTACTCACTTTCAAATTAAAACTTGTTAAGAGGTCAAATACAGTAATTATCATTTTTAAGAAAGGCATAAATATATGAAAATAAATTGATAAGATAAGATAACAAGTTGAGAAGATAATTAATCCCATTAATTTAGATCAGATCAAGGAAACTTGGACAAAAAAAATAAAAAAACTAAAATGCATATTTAAAGAACAAACTCTTAAAACTAAATATAGCTAACCATTTGAAGATATAAGTTCAGAATATATCAATTTTTTTCTTTTTTTTAAGCACATATTATGTAAAAAGTCCACATTCTAATAAAGTGTAATAGAGATAATAAAGAAGGTTTAAAGTGAAGCTCAAAGGATGCAAGTAGATAATAAATGCACTTTTGGGCTGTCTTTTGTATTAGCTATTGTTCCCATAATTAATGAAAAAATGAAGGACATTTTAGGGAAAAAACTTAACTAACTTTTTTAATCCAATAGCTTTTTCTATTTTCTCTAAATAAAGAGAATTAAAGAGAAACAGACAGGAGTTTATATCTTTTTAATTAAGGTGAGATATATTATTTTTTATAATAATGTATTACATAAATAAAAATATTAACTAATTTTTAAAATAATGTTTAAGAAAAATTTTAAATAAATTATATATGAAATCCAGACCCAGCAAAGCAATCCTAATTTCCCCACATTTGAAGAATGAGAAAACTAATCATCAAATGCGCCTTTTGATGGAATAACCTGGAGAGTTGGAAGAACTCCAAATTGATTTTGAATTGGACTATAGGTCTTAAATTTAATATATTTTCACTCTTTTAATTTAATTAGACTTGGCCTATTGGAATTATTTTGTTTTAGCTATCGAAGGTTAAATTTAATTGTAATTATCTTGTCAATCTATTATAGGATGAAATTGGCTTGATCCAAAGCGAATAATTTTTTTGGTGGTTGGAGTTGTGCATGATAATTTTATAGAAAACCCATCAATCCATATTATAGTGCTTAAATTTGACTATTTAGATTTTATATTAATGATTTCAATTTTAAAATTGGATTTGTTTTAAGCCTTAATTTGAAATTGGGTAAAATTGATTTGATTTTGACTAAATAGTTTTTTAATTGGACTATAGAGTTTAAATTTAATTGATTTGACTAATTAATTTAATTAGACTTGACCTATTTGGAATTATTTTGTTTTAGCTACAAAACGTAAAACTTAATTGTAAAGGTAGGTTTAAATTAATTTTGACTTAGTAAAAAAAAAAAACAGCCTTACATGCCAACTTTGACTAATAGCTAAATAATTAATAACAAAAAAAAAAAAAAAAAATAATTATAACAAAAAAAAAAAAAAAAAAAAAAAAAAAAAAAAACAAAATTAAACTGAACCTGGCGCCTACCAGAGGAGACCAAAGCCACGCAGAGATATGAAGCTTGCCGTGAGCCAACATTTTCCCATATATTAGTGTTTTAGATTAGAAAAAAATGAATATATTCTGATTTTACTTTTTTTTTTATAAAATTATAATATTGGAGAGTATTTTAGGAAATAAAAAAACAAATTGATGAGTTTTAATCCTGAATTTGTTACAAATATAATTATGTGGATATCAATTGCACAGTTTAAGTTAAAGCACACTAAACATTAATAAAAATTGACTTGATACATAATTTAGCCTTTGAAATTTGATAAAATAAAAATTTTATGTCATTTTGAACTTTAAAATCGACTTTATGGTACCTTAAACTTCACTTTTTTTTTTTTTAATATATGGGAGGCCGAAAAGGCAGAGATAACCTTCCCTTTTTAATAATATTCACCAAATTGGTAATAACATTTTATGATAGAAATAATTCGAACTTGAGACCTTTAGCTTACTATACCTTTTATGAAAGGTATGAAGACCAATCAGAATGCACCCGATTGACATCTTGAACTTCACTTTCTATAATAATATCACTTATTGTTACATTAAAAGGAGCAATTTTAAGATTATTGGCTTTTATATATAAAATATTATTATCATTTAATATGTGGCTTTTTTTTAAAAAAAATTAACTTGATATGTGGTTAATACGACTTTTAGAACAATAATTTTTATATATTTTTAACTATTTAATAAGTGTTTAATAGGTCAAACTAAATATTTAACAAGTTCAATTCTATAAGTTGAAATATTTAACAAGTTCAATTCTATAAGTTAAAATATTTAATGGGTCAAAGTAAAAAATTAAAAATGACACATGATTTTTTATGAAAAGTACAGCGATGAATTTAAATAATGATAGAAATTTGAATCGGGTACTGATTCAATCAACTACGATTTAAAGCTTTTATTTTTTTATCAATTGCTAAGTAATTATATTTATATTACATTTGAGTACATCAACGTTTCAGAGTACAATATTAAGCTATAAAAATGAAGAAAACTTAAATTTCTTTCATTTTATAGTTGCATTCATTAACTGTACTTACTAAATAATTGATAAAAAAAATCTTTTAATTATTAAGAATCAATTTGTCTTGAAATTAATGGAATATCAAATATTCCTCGATAAGAAATTATATACCATTGCGGGTCATTGTTATCTTTTTAAGCAAATGGTTTAATAGTAAATAAAAATCAAATAAATCCATTTCAAAAATAATTTATTAATTTTTAAATTGAATCAAGTAATTTAAAAAATAAACGGTATTAAACTTATAATTACTTATAATTTAATATGATTTGTTGGGATTTAATGGTTATATATATATAACATTAGGCTAGAGTAATATTTTGGGTTATTTTTTCTTCAGTGTATTGTGCATTATTCATCGATGATACAGAGACTTTACAGATTTCACTGTGGATTTTCATTTCTTCTGCGCATTTCAAGCTTCTGAGCAGAATTGCTACTGTAATTTTTATTTTCTTGTTTTTTATTTTCTTGCTTTCGTGTATTGTAAATCAATTCAAAAATTTAGAACCAATTGCATTCCAATTCAAAATAAATAAATAAATAATGTTACTTTCATATTAATTAAAGGTCAAAGGTCAAATTAATTAACTTTTATGTAGTCTGTGGATTTTGACTTACTATTGTTGATTTACTCTTTCAACTTTATAAATTTAATTATAGATAGAGTAATTGATTTGATCAACTATAATTTATTAAAGGTCTATTTTACTTTTTAATTTTATAAATTTAATTATAAATTGAGTCATCGACCTGATCAACTATAATTTATTGAGA